CACTGACAATATATATATAGCAGCATCATAATATATATATATATATATATATATATATATATTATGATGCTACTATATATATTGTCAGTGGACATTCTTTATTAAAAACTAAAAAAATTAAAAATTTAAATGAAGTTGCTTATTAATTCAGGAAAGATTTTTGCGGGAGTGAATAAGATTTAGGTTTTAAAATTAATAATCGAATTAATTAATGTTATGGAATAGTAAATAGAAACAGCGAATTGCTGTTTTATTAAATTAGTTTTTTGAAGTTTTCTTTTAGGACTAAAATTAGACAATATCCAACGTTGTAGAGGGAGACACCCGGACTTCATATTAACAATATAAAGTTATTGACGGCCCGCATCAAGATTGTGCCGCTTGTCAAAGCTTCATTATATCATGGGCTAGACGATATGGGCTGCATCTCCAATATTCTTACAAACATCCATGAATAGGCACCTGACCTGGACCTAGATTATCGCTAAAACCTGATGCGACAACGTTTTTAGAAAACAACTAGATCTTTGGATTTTTTTTTGAACATAAGAAAAGTTGGGTGTGGTTATTGTATTTTTTAGTAAAAAATAATAAATTACAATATATAGAGTTTGATTTGATGTGATTTGGTTAATTTGATAGATAAAAAAATAAGTCTAAAGACCGATAAAAAAATAGTTTGATAAAAATAATTAAGACAATATTTTTTTTAAAAAAAATTAAACAAATACATATTAGATCGACTCATGTCAACTAGAGTTAACCTGTCAAATCCGCTATCTAGGTCATGAGACTCTAATAACCCCATAGAAAGCAAATAAAAAAATTATTATATCTAATTCTCAATCAACCTAATATTAAATGTTGAAATTGATAACAAAAATCAACTAAAAAAATGAGTCAAATTAACTCGAATTAACCTGCCAAATATTGGTTATAAGACTGAGATAATTACATAGAAAGCAAATCGAAACAAATTATGAAATTTAATTCCCAATAAACTCAATGTTGATTGGTGAAATTAAAAAAAATAATTAAAAAGGAATACAAAAAATCACCTGAGTCAACCAATCACACTTGTAACCGGGTCATGAGACTAAAATAACTTTATAAAATAAAAATAAAATAAAATTATGAGGTTAATTTCCAATCAACCTAATATTAAACTATGAAATTAAAAAAATAACTAAAAAAGGATAAAAAATCATAATTAACCAGCTTAACCCTCGATTTAGGTCATAAGATCATGATAGCCCTATAAAAAATAAATAAAAAAATTATAAATCCTACTTCCTAATCAACCTAATATTGATACATGAAATTAAAAAAAATTAAAAATAAACAAAGAATGACCCAAGTCAACATGACTAACTTGCAAAAACTCATGATTCAGGTCACGAAACCAAAATAACTTTATAAAAAATAAATCAAAATAAATTATGAAACCTTATACCTAGCAAGCCTAACTTTGGAGGCTTATGTTCAGTAAACCCAATATTTAAAAATGAAATTGAAAAAAAAATCCTAAAAGATTTTGAGGATCAAAGTGAAAAAAATATTTGGTATTTTATTGTTCATTGCTAGAGTGAAAAGCTAAACATTTTGTATGTTAGTTATTTTATGTTTTATTTAAGAAATTAAATATCATGTTTGATAATCTTATTTTTCCCATTTAGTTTAGAAATTTATAGGGGTATTCATGGATATAGTTGGATTGGGTTAGGCTTATAATTGTATCAAACCTAACTTTTTATATTTTATAAATTTTAAACCTGACCCAAGTTAAATATATTGGGTTGTGATATAATTTTTATGGATATTACACATATTCATGAGTTGACCTTTGCACATGATAAAATATAGTACAAGAGGAAAAATGTTTAATACCTCAAATCACATCTAGTAGAGAATTTAGTTGATATAATTTATCCTTTTTATTTATTAATAATATAAATAAATTATTTAATAACTTAGTTGATGCCAATAAGTTTGGATTGATGTTTAGCGTAAATATAATGAATTTCTTTTCTAGTATAAAATATTTGAAATATAATGAGAAAATGTCTGGTCAAGTTGAATGGTGCAAAAAGATCCATATAGCTGATGTGAACAAGTTTTGATTGATATTTAATAGTTATTTATAACGAGAAAAAATATGATTATATGAACATATATTTAGTAGGAAATACAAACCTCTGCAACCTTTTCCTAGTAAAGTTTGATAGGAAGGATACTGAGCGATCATAAAAATTAAAACACTAAATTATTTGTATAAAAAAACCAAATCTAGAGATATTTAGAAAAAAAAAGTTACTACTATATCTTTCTAGACTAATCAGTGATGAAGGGAGATGTCAAAATATATAATAAAAAATTCTAATAGATTTATAGTCTTTCCAGGAAAAGATGTTTCAGTAAGACAATTCATTTAGGTAAAAAAAATAAAATAAAGTGGACGTACTCAAATGCAATCACTTGAAATCCCTACCAACACCTCCACCTCCCGTAACTAAACGAAAAAGCTAGTATGTTGTTTTATGTAATCATAACAATGCAATCATTATAAGACATCAATTGACAAAGCCCTTCTGAAAATGTAAGAGAAATTGAATTGTTAATTGAAAAAAGCAAGGCACTACAGTTAGATTGGGCAATACGCGCTCATCTTTAACACAATTATTTTAAAATACCAATTAACAAAAAGTCTAAGCTATTCTATTATAAGAAACAAATTACTAACCTACAAAACAAAAATTGAAGAAACTAGAAAGAGTGAGGTTATGGGTGTGGCTAAATAAGAGAGAAAAAATAAGAATAAAAGGAGAATGAGAGTTGTAGGTGTGTTATGGTCGTGCAACGTGTTGCGGGATAAAGAGAAAAGATAAAAAAAAAAGGAGTTAAAGAGTAGAAAAAAATACTATTTATACTAAAAATTTTATAAGGTTATTACATTGACTAAATGGGCTGGTTAGGTTGGGTTGAGTGAGTTTCAAATATCCCAACTTCTCACGTGACCCATAATATCTATTCTTTTAGTTTTTTTAACCCACTAACATTTGCAATATTCACATTATCTGACTTTAACGGGTTAATGCAAATATTTTAGATGCCTTAATTTTTTGAACACTCTTGAAATTTATATAACAATTTTATAATTATTTAATAAATTTTTTTTCTTTTTAAAATAAACTTAGCATTAGTAAAAACAAGTTGTTTTACTTGTATTTCAACAAGCATTATAAAGAGAAAATTGACTAATAAAGTCCAATAAGAATTCTTATGTTTTGAGACATTTTTTGATAGAATTTTGTCTTTTTTATGTTTAATATATTCATTGTATTGTTTTTATTTGTGTTGGTTAATAGTGGAGTCTATCAATTTTTAGTGGTTAATATTGTGTTTGTATAACCATGGTTGAAAGATGATACAAAACAGGACATGCTTCTATAGTAGGGGATGAGTTGATTTTTCCATAAGAAAAAGACATTAAAAAACTAGTGATAAAGAACATGTATATAAAGATTATAGAATTGACTTGATATTAAGGGAAGCTGAAAACCATTAAGAATCGTGAGGAGAGATATCATGGATATATGATCAGATTTGAAGAACTCATTTCAGAGGTGAAAATAGAGGAAATAACCTTTGAATTGCGATGAATGTTATAGAGGTTTAGGATTTCACACGTACACACACTTTATGGACAAAGAAATTTATCAATTGGTTGAATGAAGTAGAAAGGATTTTTTTAGTGTAAGAAAATAACAAAGAAGATGAGGGTGAAACTAATCACTATTAAATTCAAGTGCAAGCTTCTACTTAGTGGAAGAAAATGAAGAGATTTTAGGAAAAACAGGGAAAATAAAAAATTAATTATTTGTAAAAGATGAAAGAACACCTTTTCTTTCTTGGTTCACTCATACCTTATATCAATGATTCCGTATAT